TGGGGCGCTGCCCTGACACGCACAGAGCAGGGCCCATCAGGGGGGTTGGGGCTCTGTACCCTGTCATGCACAGAGCAGGGCCCATCAGGGGGTTGGGGAGCTCTCCCCTGTCACACACAGAGCAGGGCGGATCAGGGGGTTGGGGCGCCGCTCTCTATCACCCACAGAGCAGGGCCGATCAGGGGGTTGGGGCGCCGCCACTGTCACACTCAGGGCAGGGCCAATGGGGAGGTTATGGCTCTACCCCATCACACACAAAGCAGGGCCCGTGGGGTGGGGGAGTTGGGGCGCCGCCCTCTATCACCCACAGAGCAGGGCCAATCAGGGGGTTGGGGCGCCGCCACTGTCACACTCAGGGCAGGGCCCGTGGGGTGGGGGGTTGGGGCGCCGCACCGTCACACACAGAGCCGCAGGGCGATCAGGAGGTTGGGGAGCTCCCCCCTATAAGGCACAGAGCAGGGCTGATCAGGGGGTTGGGGCGCCTTCCTCTGTCACGAACAAAGCAGGGCGGATAGGGAGGTTGTGGCCCCACTCCCTGTCACACACAGAGCCGCAGGGCCATCAGGGGGTTTGGGTGCTGCCCCGTCACACTGATTCCGGTGCTGGGAGGCCTCTCAGCTCTACTGATCCCTGTGCTGGGAGGCCTCGCGGCTCCGCTGATCCCGGTGCTGGGAGGCATATTACCCTTTTACTATATAGGATAGAGGTCTGGTGCACGGGTGGGGGCTGGCTGGTTTGCCCTGAAGGGTGTCCTGGATCAGGGTGGGGGTCCCCACTGGGGTGCCTGGCCAGTCTGGGTGAGGGGCTGAGGGCTGTTTTCAGGCTGGGACTGAAGCTTCCAACTGCTCCTTCTTTTCTTTTTTCTTTTTTTATTCTGGGCCAGCTTTAGCTCTGGCTCCAGCTCTGAGGCCTCTGCTGCTGAAAGCAGGTATCTAGTTTGTTTGGGTTCTATAATTGAAACATTGTATCAACTCCAGCTCTGAGATCCCGGTGGGCTGAAAGCAGGTTTCTGGGGTTTTGTTTAGTTTCTATATTTGTTACAATGTTTCAAACTGCAAGCTCAGAGGCCGGCAAGGCAGGCGGGGAATGTTGGAGTCCTCCGTCACTGAAGCAAGCAAGCCTCATGTTAGCTTCAAGCTGCCTGGGTGCCGGCCGCCATCTTGGCTGGCAGTTAATTTGCATATCGCCCTGCTTAGCCAATGGGAAGGGTAGCGGACATACAGCTAATTACCATGTTTCTCTTTTATTAGATAGGATGTTTATAAGCCAACAGAGGTGATCCAGTTCAGAGAGAAAAAAATTCATAAGGAAAGCAGACAATTCCAACATTAAAATGGAACTCAGTGCAAAAGTGGCAAGTTTGATCTTAGGAAATTTGACAGTTTACCCAATTACTGTAGAGCATAGTAATGTATTTAATGTAAGAAGGCATGGAGTCAGGGCTGTTATTTCTTCTATTTTCTAGAGAGATAAGCAAGATAATGACTTATGATTGAGGAGAAGGCATGTATAGTCAGGAAAATGTTAAACAGCTGCCTAAGAGGGCAGGGGAAGTGGACTAGGGAAATTAGGCTGAGGGTGGTGAAAATACAAGGAGCTCACTTCAGAGTTAGCATGAGCATGTGTTTTTCCTCCAGCCAAGTTAACTGCTCTGAAGCAAGCATACCATGAATTAACCAGGACTGTGGTTTAGGCAGGTAAAATGGAGGAAAGAGAGAATTGAAGGTATTTGCAAAGGAGGATTTAAAACAGATAATGGAATCTAAGGTAGGCAATGAGATGAGTTTTTAAAAATGGGTGTAACATTTAAATGTCTACTTTAGTAAACAGTCAATTCTCATAATGTGAGGTAATCTATACTAATAATAGAGGAATATGCAAATTGTTTGGGATGCTGTCACAGTAACAGTAACGACTGAACAGCAGGCTGCATGGGGGTGACCAGGCCGGCAGGGGGGTTAGTGAGGGATGACCAAATGATTGGACAGCAGGCTGCATGGGGCGACCAGCTGGCAGGGGGGCAGTGGGGGGCGACCAGGCTGGAAGAGGGGGGCAGTGGGGGCCGACCAGGCAAGCAGGGGTGGTAGTGAGGGGCAACCAGGCTGGGGGGGGGCAGTTAGGGGCGACCAGGCCAGCAAAGGGGGACAGTTGGAGGCGATCAGGCTGGTGGGGAGGGTAGTAAGGGGCGACCAGGCCGGTGCGGGGGGACAGTGGGGTGAGCAGGCTGGCAGGCAGAGGCAGTTAGGGGTGATCAGGCTGGCAGGGGGGGGCAGTTAGGGGCAATCAGGCAGACAGGCAGGTGAGCAGTTAGGAGCCAGCGGTCCCGGTTTGTGAGAGGGATGTCCAATTGCCGGTTGACATCCCCCAAGGTGTCCTGGATTAGAGAGGGTGCAGGCTGGGCTAAGAGGACCCCCCCCAGCCCCCCCCCCCCATGCACAAATTTCATGCACTGGGCCTCTAGTATTCTATAAAGCCACAATAGAAACTGAATTGCTCTTAGGGGAAATACAGGATTAGTTACCTGACTCTAGTCACATTTTTATCAGCAATTAGTACATAATCTTGTTTTATGTGTTTCTGCTTAGACAGCTTATTTAACATATATTGTTGATTTGTTAACATTGAATTCATTGTTAAGAGCACTAGTAAGCACTGAAGGGAGCTTATCTAAAATGTGTTTTCTCCACAAGGCACAGCACACACAGCCTTCCTGTGTTTAGGAATGAATACCAGACATCACTTTAGCACTATGCTGAAGGGGTGGAGGGGCATTTAAAACAACAAAATCACCAATAAAAAGCACAAAAAAATGTGAAAAACATGGCACTATATATACTGTAAAAAGCACATTTGTTTTCAGTATGAGAGGTGAAACAATAAGGCTGTGTAGCCTTGTGCAACCTCATCTGAAAATGTGTCAGGCAAGTTAAAATTTTTGCTGCTCTGCACATATCTATGCTGCATGTACTGATTTTGGGTTTCCAAACAAATGTTAGTGAGTAGTTGAACTCGCAAACAGAGAATCTGTGAATAATGAGGAACTGTTTCCTCCATAGCTTAGCCCAGTTTTGCTGCTTTTGATCAAATAGTATGTATCAATGTCAGCAGACATCTGATTATCAAACAAGAAACACATTTTGCTGCCAGTTTTCTTTTATCTTTTTTTGCTGCCAGTTTTCAAAAAGTTTCTGCATAAGGTTTATATATACATTACTTTTTATGCTCCTATAATCTCCTCTCCTGTCTTCAATGTATTTGTTAAAAATTACACATAAGACTCTTGGTTTTTCTCATTTCAGTCATTGGCAGTTTTTTCTTTACTGAGAGCTTAAGTGGGCATTTACTAGTACTCACAAACAGCAATTATCTTAACATTTGGCTGGTGGATGTGACAAAGTTATGTATCTTATTCAATACATTGTGATCTCAGAGTCCTTTGCTCATATCATTCTATCTCTTCATTAGGTCCTGTAATAATGTAACTTGTTGGAACCCAAAAAAATCAGTTACTTTTTTATATTGTTTTTTGAAGGGGTCTTGTTTCCTCTGATTTGTTTACTATCTTGCTTTTTTCTTCTATGAAAATAGTTGTATATTTACTTCATGTGTATTACAATTCTTTTTAAAACAATATTTTTTTTATTGATTCCAGAGGAAAGGAGACGGGGAGAGTGATAGAAACATGAGAGCATCATTGATTGGCTGCCTCCCGAACGCCCCCTACTGGGGATCAAGGCCGCCACCCAGGCATGATCTCCCGTTCACAGGTCATGCTCAAACACCGAGCCACACTGGGAGGGCTGACAATCCTTTTTAAAATTACAGTTGCAAAAGGAGTTTAAGAGCAGAAAAAAATCACCTGAATACCACCACCCTCAAATAAAACTTAACTTTTTGGTATACTTGACTTTTCCCCTCCCTATAGCGTTGCCAGTGTTGCTATTGTGACTGTAACAATCTGTAAAATTCAATTTGTAACAATTTCATTTAACCCAACCTACGCTTTGATTCACACCCTGAACCTCCAAATGACCTAGGAAAAATGGGAATAAAGAAAAGGGTGGATTGGGCACGGCTGGGGCTGAAAAACCTTAACCAAGTATGATTGGGCTCAACACTTTTCTCCCCTAAAGCTCCAGGCTCATCCACGTTTTAATTCACTGCCCCAGCGGCGGCTCCTGCTCCGTCTCAGAACCTTACATCTCGCAGGCACGCGGCCATGTCGTCTGCACAATAGCCCTAAATCCTCACCCCTGTCGCTCCTCACTTGGAAAGCTCGCTTCTGAGGACGTGACTTACAGCTAACCAGCGGCGCGGAGCTCCAAGCGGCCCCGGCCCGTCGCAGGCCGGTGGCGCGCGAAGCATCCGGTTTGAGGCGGATGCCCAGGTCCGGTTCCGGGCACAGGGCCCAAGGGAGCGGTCGCGCGCTGCCCACCACCCCGAGGGCAGCTCCGGTCGCTGCTCGCTGAGGAAGCTCCAGGGTCACGGTCCGCCCGTCGCCCACTGAGGGCTTGGCGACCACCCCGCCCAGCCCGCCCGGCCCGGAGGGGCGGGAGCCGGCGGCCCGAACGCTCCCCCAGGGCGCCCTCCCCCCTCCTCCGCCCCCGTCTCGGCGCACGCGCAGTAGCCCAGCCTCCCGTACTTAGTCCGAGATGGCTTCTCTCGCGCCCCACCGTCCTCCTTCCGAAGACGGCTCCCTCCCCACGCACCCCGGGGCCTCCAGAACCAGCCTCAAGCGGGTCCCCAGGCAGGACTCTCCTTAAGCTGGAATAGCAGTGGCCGGACGTGAGCGTGAGGAAAAGCAGCGGCAACCGGAAAGAACTGAGAGCTCTCCAGGCGGCGAGCCAGGCCTCAGAGGAAGAGGAAAACCCGAGCGAGCCGAGGTTTGCCGAAGGCGGCCTTCCGGAACTGCGCGGGGAAGGGAGGAGGGCTGAGGGCGGCAGAGGAGGGGCGCGGCGGAAACTGCCGAGGTTTGCCGAAGGCCGCAGCCTCGGAGTTGCCCGGATGTAGTTGGTGGAGCGGCGGCGGCGGCGGCGGCGGCGGCACCGGTGGCGGCGGCAGGCGAAGGAGAAGGGAAAGGCGGCGGCAGGGGGAGAGGAGGGCAAGAGGCAGCGGAGCAAGAGGAGGTGAAGGCGGAGGAGGCAGTCGCTCTCCGCGGGGCTGTGCAGGACGCGTCTTGTTGCCCCCCTCCCCCCGGTTTGCCGCTTCCGCCGTGTAGGTGGCGCCTCTCCCCGGGCTGAGAGTGAGCGTGGTGCTGTCGGAGGGAGATGGCCCGGGAGCGCCGGCGCCAGTAACGGGGAGGTGCAGAGAGTCGCCTAGGGCGCGCCGGACTCTGGTGCCGGTGCTGCCGCCCGCCCGCCTCTCGCGGCTGCTTCCCCCCTCCCCCGACACACACTCACAGGTCGTGCATTGATGGTAATGTATGCGAGGAAACAGCAGAGACTCAGTGATGGGTAAATTGGCTTTTCGTTTCAGTCTGGGCCGCGGCGGAGGCGGGGGTGGCGGCGGGGGGGGCTGTTCCTCCTTATCTGCTGCTGGCTGGGCCGCCATTTTTGTTGTTAACCCTGCTCCGGATCGGGCCGGGGAGGAGGCGCGGCCGCGCGAGCCGGCGAGGCCGGAGGGAGTGTGGAGGGAGCGCCGGGCCGGTTCGCGGCGTTTGGCCCTCGTCACCGCTTTTAAAAGGGCGAGTGTGCGTGTGCGGGCTCACCGCCGGTTCCTTCGGTAGGTCTCCTGCGGGGAGGGGTCCGGGGGGGGAACCCGTTTTCTTCCTTCTCCTCGAGATGCTTCATGTCGCCGACTCTCTTCCTGTTTTTCAGCTGTCACGACCGGAGGGGGGACTCGCAGCCTTACCAGGTACCAGCCGAGGCCGGGGAGGAGGGCCGGGTGCGGGGACGGAGGGGGAAGGGAGGACTTGGTACTCGAGCTCAGGCTTCAGAAGTCGCTACAGGCCCTTCGGTGCAACAAATCCGAAAGTAGCACCGCGGGCCCCCTTAAAATGTTGTGTTTGGGTCCATTGGGCTTTCCAGCAAGGTTTAGTGACTTATTTTGACAGGCGAGTTAAGGAAGTTCAGTTTTTTAGGGAAAATAACATTCTCAGCCAGAAAGAACCTGACTCGATTATTTGCATGTGAAAGAATCGGTGGGTTGAGGTGATGGGTGTCTTCTCAACCACATGTACTTATTGTAGTGCATTGGGGAAATAAAAGTTAATGTTAAGGTATTAAAATTAGATGAAAGGGCTGGGAAGAAACAAGTAATTGTTTTGCAACTCTTAATTGTGTTGTAAACCACTGTCCCTTCCCGATTTAATTGTTTTTGGTGCAAATAGTTGCCTTACTAATGAAAGATAGTGCTTTTGTTTCTGTAGGAATTGAGATCTTTGGATACTTGAATAACTTACTCTAATTTGATAGTTCTAGGTATGTAGGTTCCTATTTGTTATTGCAGTTGCATGTAAAGTTTTAAAAAATTATGATACAGGTGGTGCCTGTTTTCTGAGGGGAAAAAAAATCTCATAAATTGTTAACCATCAGATGATACTGGAAGTGCCTTTTTAAGTCTAATCACTTCAGGGATAGAAGAGCAGTTTTCTAAGCTGATAGTTGTGCTAACTGGCTGTCACCAGTTAAAGCTCAAGTTAAAAACCCTGAGTCCCCTGATGTGTAAACATTCATTGTCCATTACATTTGGATATCAAAGTTTAAGCCCTACTGCGTCTGCTTCTCTAAAACATAATTACACCTTGTAAAAGACTGGTCTGTCATGGTTGTCTTAAATATGCATTAGGATAAAATTAAACCATTATTTTGAAGGAGTTCCATTAATTTTCATTATGTTAGAAATATCAGCCAACTTCTTTATTTTTTTACCTTAAAATTGTTTCCCACACCTGTCATAGAGTAGGTAAGGTAGGATTGAAATGCTTTTTTGAGTCAGAATTGGAGAAAGTGATGCTTTTTTTTTTTTGTAGCTTTGCAGAAACATGCTTAAGCTCCTTATACTTTCGTCTTTGCATCAGTTATCCCGCAGAAATAGATTATAATAGTTTCTACTTTTCTTTAACTTCTTAATTCCCAGAAAAATTTATTGAGGAATTAATTTGTCAAGGTGTATGATTTCGTTTATTTACAAGATACTTTATAGACTAGAGTTTTCTCTTTTTTTAGCATAAGGTATGATTTGTATGAGGAGCTTTATAATAACTCTTAAGCATATATATAGGCCTTGTCAGAATAACTTAAGAACATAATTGAAGATGGAAATTTTAATTTTATTGATATGAATTACTAAAACTTAGTGAAGTTAAAACACCAAGTTTTATAATAAAATGAATTTAGGAAGCTATGTTTAAAATTTCAACTTTTTGTCTCTTTTTTGGGGGGTGATGTTTTACAGGCACTTAAGTATTCATCGAAGAGTCACCCCAGTAGCGGTGATCACAGACATGAGAAAATGCGAGACGCCGCAGATCCTTCACCACCAAATAAAATGTTACGGAGATCTGATAGTCCTGAAAACAAATACAGTGACAGCACAGGTCACAATAAGGCCAAAAATGTGCATATTCACAGAGTTAGAGAGAGGGATGGTGGTAAGTAGCTTTTTTGTTGAAACTTTCACATATTTATTTTTAACAATTGCTCTGTGTAAAATAATATGTGGCAATATTTCTAGCTTACAGACATTGCTGTATGGATGTCATGAAAATTTTTTATTTCTATTTATTTGGTTCCTGAACTGATTACATAGAAATGAGATGCTGACGGGCATCTAAAAATGGGTTCCAGCAGCTGATAATAAGAGAATGCATTTATGAATATAGTCTACCTAATGCATTATTAACTGTGAGGGAAATTCAAGACATTTTCCCAAGAAAGAAACTTTAACCTTTTTAAAAATATATATTTTATTGATTTTTTACAGAGGGGAAGGCAGAGGGATAGAGTTAGAAACACCGATGAGTGAGAAACATCGATCAGCTGCCTCCTGCACACTCCCTACTGGGGATGTGCCCGCAACCAAGGTACCTGCCCTTGACCGGAATCGAACCTGGGACCCTTCAGTCCGCAGGCTGACGCTCTATCCACTGAGCCAAACTGGTCAGGATGACTTTAACCTTTTTTAAGTAAAGATTCTTGTTGCTGCTTGAATCCCTTTTTTAAAGGCTTCAAATGTGTTTCCTAATGATAAATTATGAATTTAAAACAGGTGTTTGGAGACAGTTCACAGGTTTAAAGAACCACACATTTCTGATTCTCAGAATTACTTTTGTTTTTTTGTTGTAAACATTTAAAATATTCCATATTTTCCTGGGCCTTATTAATGTCTTTGCTATACTGTGTTCATTCAACTAGTCAACTTTTTTAAAACCTCGTTTCTTTTGTATAAAGGTAGTACCCTTCAGTTTTTACCTTGTCTCCAGCTCTTTGTGGTAGGAGGTTGAGAAAAAGTAAAACTCAATAACTATTTTCAGACTTAATTTTCCTAAATTTACCAAAATACAGGTTTCATGTCTAAAGCATGGATTGAGGAATAAACCAATTTCACTAAGATAATTAAGACATCTATATTTTCCCCACTATAAGATCTTATGTCACTTAATAAATAATGTTTGAGATGAATATACAATATTGATTGTGCTTTTAAAAGCTTCTAAGGAAACTCAGTAAGTAGAGTGCCCTATGCCTTTCTGCCTTTGACTGTCAACTAACTTCTCATACTTTGCTTACTTTTAAAAAATGTCCTGGCCCTAGCCTGTTTGGCTCAGTGGATAGAGCGTCAGCCTGAGGACTGAAGGGTTCCGGGCTCAGTTCTGGTCAAGTGCATGTACCTCAGTTGCAGGTTTGATCCCTGGCCCTGGTCAGGTGTGCAGGAGGCAACCAGTCGATGTGTCTCTCTCAGATCAATGTTTCTCTCTATTTCTCACCCTCCCTTCCACTCTTTAAAACTCAATGGAAAAATACCCTCAGGTGAGCATTAACAAAAATATTCTGCATCTTCTGGTTCTCTCTTATGTCTCCTAGGATAGGAATCAGTTTTACTCGGTGTGATCAAATATTGAGAAACATTGGTCTTCTCTGTACATAATTACTGGGTTGAGGAAATTAATGATATGGAATAGAAAGTATAGGTCTCTGTTGAATATAGCTATAGCTTTGTGCTACTTACGCAGATAAGCCATATTTTTGTTTGAAAGTAACATAAGGTGAGTTTGGTTATTAAAGTATTAGGAGTTCTTTGATGTCAAAATTACTTTTACACTATATTTTCAGTTTTATGGGTAAAGTTTCTATAGTGTTTTGTATAGTCAGATACTATTATAAATCACTCTTCTATAGCAGTTTTCATTTCAAACTTTGGCTCTTGGAAAGCATGTACTATTTGTACTGTATTGTGCTTCATGTTTAAAATTTGGTGACTGATAAAATAGGATGTAGGTTTTCTTTTAGTGATTCTGATCTGGTTATTCTGTCATCCTCAAATTGAGGAAGAAGCCAGTTTAGGTGCTCTAGGGAACTTGATGTACATTTACAGTGAATCATGCTTGATAGATTCTTTTACAGGTTAAAAACATTCTGTTGCTTATTTATTCAGCAACCATTGGGCATCCACTGTGAGCCAGTAATGGTGTGGTTTTCCTGGAAGTTAAAGATAAGATGTGATCCTGCCCTTGAAGCTATTCTTAAAGGCTTTACTTGAGTTAGTGGTGTAGCTGCTTGCTTCTTTATTCCTGTTTTCTTCGTTTTGATTTTAATTGAGAGTTAGTGGTATAGCTGCTTGCTTTTTCTTTATTCCTGTTTTTATTTTAATTTTACTTCCTATGTGAACTCCAGATACCTCTTATTGGCTTTTAGTTTCCTTTTTATTTGTATCTGTTTACTGATTTTTCTTAGTTTCATTTGTAAGAAACTTCTTTCTTATTTTTCCGATTTAGTCATTTGCTGCGTTAGGCTTTACCTTCTAACTTGCTTTTTAGTTGCTTGCCTGTCTTCCTGTGGAGCCTGTTACCTAATACTGTAACTCCATCCCTATTTGTGCAATCTCTGATGTCTTTGGCTGCCATATTCCTTTAAATTTTGTAGTAATAATGAATACCATAAAATAGATCTTCATTCAAGAGTTCAGAGTGCATCTTTCATGTTAATTCTGTCTTTTAAAGTTGTAAAGTGGTGACTTTTCTCTCATATAATACTTAGTCATTATAGTTTAGATTCCAGATGTTTTCTTTTATTGCTAATATGTGTTTGAAACTACACTTTTAAAAGTGCATATGTCTAATTTTATTACAGGCATTTCTATTTTCATAGGTTTTTATCTTTAAATATGAAGTGGAATGTTTACATATACTTACATATATATATGTATGTATATTCGTTTATATAAAGTCAAAGCCATTATCCTAAGGCAAATGCCAGTATGTTGGATTATCTGTGCTCTCAGCCTATATAAGTAACAATGTAAGAATAGGTTACTGTTTTGTTGATGTGATTTCAAATTTGTTACTTTTTTAATTTTAGGAATTAAAAAAAAAATCTAATGACTTTAGTACTGTAATAATTTAAGAGCCTATGTGCTATGATTTGTAACTTGGATTTTACAAAGCGAGTTAAACAAATGCATCTTTTTTTGTTCCATTTTGTTAATCCTCACTCAGATATTTTTTCCATTGCTTTTTACCCCCCCCTTTATTTTCTTTATTTTTTAATATAGTTTCATTGATTTCAGAGAGGAAGGGGGAGGGAGGGAGAGAGAAAAATCAGTTATGAAAGAGAATCATTGATTGGCTGCCTCTTGCACGCCCCCTACTGGGGATCCAGCCCACAACCCCGGGCATGTGCTATTGACCATAATCGAACCTGGGACCCTTTAGTCCCCAGGCCAACTCTTTATCCACTGAGCCAAACCGACTAGGGCTCCATTGCTTTTTTTTTTTTTAAGAGAGAAAAACACCAGTGTGTCTGATGTGAGAGAGACACATGGATTGGTTGCCTGCACACCCTCCCTGACCTCATTAGTATGGAACCTGCAACCCAGGTACATGCCCTTGACTGGGAATTGAACCTGCAATCCTTCAGTGCATGAGCTGAGACTCTAACTTTTAGCCACACCAACTAGGGCTGTATCTGCTGTTTTTCATGGCACCTTGGATTTCTTTGAAAAGTGACAATTTAGAAGTAATGCACAGAAAGGACTTTAAGGTATACAATAAAAAGTTTGAAAGCAGGGATTGAGAAGGATTGTCACTCCTAGGAATCTTTAAAGACTTATTGCATCATAGTATGCATGTATCAAAGATTTAGAGATTTTAATCCCTTAGGATTATTAAAGGGGATGTAGGCCATCTGTTGTAAATTAGGGGGAAGTAAATTTTTATATATTCTCTAATCTATCTGCAAATCATACAATCTTCTGTTTAAAATGATCAAAAGCAAGAATCTTATGGTACAATTAGATTTGTTTTTTGTAGCTGAGATGTTTTTAAAGGTGCAGCTAACATCAAAACCTCAGAAGAGGGAATATACAATACAGATTGAATTTATATTGAGTTTTAAACCCTTTTCAGTTGGTTTAAGTATGTGTTTAGTGGTGTGTGTGTGCTTTGTTTGTTGTTTTTTTAGAGCTAGCTCTATTTTACCAAGTAATTTTAAATTTAATAATGATAATAGTACAAATGGGGTTAGGAATGAAGGGTATGTTTACAGAGATTCTTGGAAGCTGTTCGATAAAACTTCAGCCTCTTGAGGCTCATTCTATTTTTCACATCTTTCCTCTTAGAGTTAACTGTAAGAAACATATAAGACATATTTGGACTACTTGTTAGAAACATCTTTTTAGGACAGACAGCTTAGTTCAGTTGGTTAATTGAAAAATATTCTTTATTGGTACTTTGGTTTGTGGGAATTTAGTGAATTTGCATAGTTCTTAGGTTGGCATTCAAGTATCTTTTTAGTACAAAGGAAAATTGCCCTTGGTGGTTTGGTAACCATTGTTTCTAAAGATTTAAAAATTTTTACCTGCATAGTGGGAAGTTTTTATCTTGTTTTGTGATTAGCCATATCTGGTAAAATTTGGAAACGTATTTTCATCTAGAAACAAAGATTACTATAATTAGTATTTGAAGGAATTGTTTAGTGGGACCATTTGGGGATAATTGGTGTTTTTATATATAATTTAGTAATGTTTGAATCTTTTCATATTGGATAATAGACTGGTATTTGTCTGACATGGCCTTGTGGTTATTCTAATAACTAAGTTTTGAATAAAATGAATGATGCTTGCATTTGTAATGTTAGACAGTACTATGAAAAAAGTCTCTTTTGATCCTCATTTTGATCTTGGAAGGCAGATAGAACAGTTAATATCTGTTTTACAGTTTTACAAATGAGGGTAAATTTACTTATGTAAAATTGAACAAATAGTGACATCTGAGTCTAGAAATTAGTTCCTTCTGATAATTGTATATGCTGTCAGAGATGAAACATTAAGCATATTGAAAGCTTATTTAGTTGGTATTTACTATAGCACAAGTTAGTTTAAAGGTGAGTTTGCTTAATGTTTTTGCCTAACTTCTTTCAGTGGCTACATTTTACC